CCGCTTCCTCCTCCATCGACCCACCGAACATATTAAAGCCCGCGCGAGGAGCGAGGAGCACCTTGGCTTGGTGTTTGTTTGTGGCTGTTGCTTATTGCTGATTCTGTTCGATATCTCGGGCCCCGGGGTCTTATCTGTTTGGCTGCCGAGGTGCTGCAGTTGCTCTGATATCTTGACAGGCGGCTCGTTTTGGGCAGCTGTCAGCATCTGCCCCCCCCTCTCTTTATATCTCTCTATCGCTCTCTCTCTCTCGCACCCTTTTTAATCCTTCCCATCAAAACAAGGGCTGCAGAAATCGGATTGTTGGATCGTGAACCTACAGCTTCTACAATGCAGTTAAATGTGTCGCCGCAGAACTATCTCAAGTTGTAGATGCATCTGGTTATTAATTGCCCCTCCTATAAAGGCTGAGCAAAAGTGTTTTACTTTCTTTCTTTCCCCCCCAAAGCTTCACAATAGTATCTGGTCCTCCATAACGTCACCAGCTGTTGAGAGGCATCCTTGTCAAGGTTTTTATTATATATTTGAGGCTTTTGTTTGCGCGGTATCAGGAGTATGTGACAGCTACTTGCGAGCTGGCGGACTCAACTGTTATAGCTCCCATAAAAAGCAATTTATATCGTGAGCCTTTTATTGTTTTCTATATGGGTAAAGGTCTACTTGGTGGCGGTATACGGGGGGATAGATGCAGCAGTCAGTGCTCCGTTCAGGGAGCACCGTTAAGTTCAGAGCACACCGACGCCACCACGCAGATCTTCAACAGCGGGGAGCTAATGTAGCATACGGTGGACACTGAAGGGCAATTAACTAAGCATGTGGCGGCTCGCATGACACGGAAGTGGAACGCAAGAGTCACAGCGGCCGGCCATTTGTGGCTCTCTGCCGCTGTGCTTTGATGAATAACTGTGGGTGGTGGTTGGACGCAAAGGGGAAAATAACTCATGCATGAGCATAACAGCGCATGCATGAGTTATTTTCTCACACATGTGAGAAGATTCTGCAGAAAATGATTCAAACGGCGGGCAGAGCCACGCTGGGCTTCGAGCACCTCGAGAAAATGAGTGGTAATGCCCCTAACCCCACCCCCCTTATTTCTCTCTCCAGCTGATCAAAACTGCGTCACGCCACATCCTGTAATGTTTTTGATTCCTTGGTATTTAAACGATCCAAAAGGAAACGTGGCGCCAGACAGTGGCTGTGTGTGTGTGTGCTAAAGAGAGATGGAGGAAGCTGCAGCCACACCGACAGGTTGACTCATCCAGAGGGAAGAGAGAGAGAGAAGGGCAGACAGGGAGAAGAAAGAGGAGAGGAGAGGGTGACTGATCAGGACACATCAATGAGTGGGAATCTGTTTACGGCCCGTTCATCCCTCTGATAGAGCAATCACAATTTATGAGATATCAGCGTGTTTATTCTCGCGCGCAGAGAAGGAAATATTAAGAAAAGATGTGCTTCGAGTCGTTCCTCGTGCACCTTAACAAACGGACTCGTGCACACACACACACACACACACACCTAGGCTGATGTTTTTGTGTCTGTGTGTCAAAGACTTTGTCCCACCGAAGCGTTTCTATAAATAGCAGCAACAGCGCTTGCCAGCTACGCAGCATGATGAATGTGTTATATAACCTTGTCGAAACGCACACTGAGACCACATCAGCATCAACAACTAGGCCGCTACCTGTTCTAATGCTGCAAGGCCCTCTCTCTCTCTCTCTCTCTCTCTCTCTCTCTCTCTCTCTCTCTCTC